AAAGCGGTGAGTGTGCAGGGCTTTGTTAAATGTGAATGAAATGTTGGTTTAGTGCTTTCTCTGTTTGGTTATGAAGGTGTTTGGCCCGATAGGTTGCTGTCAACTTGACCTTTCCAGGCTCTGAGGAAGGCGAAATCCGCCGAAACGTCAGCTTGTACGCAAATAAAGAAATAAAATAGCACCTCGTGTTTGTTGAACAGAAGTAGAAAGAATTAACACGTTTGATTTCAAAAAATGCTAAAACGCAGTTTTCTTTGCCAGTCCTCAATAAGAGAGATGGCGAGTCAAACTCGGTAGCATTACGCTGCCGCTTTTTCCCTAGCACACATACCAACATCTAGCCATCGTAGTTTAAGACGCGTTTTCGCTTCAATGTGGGAAAGTCCTCCAAGAGCCAGTCACACGGCCAACAAGAAAGAAGGGAGCATCGATAGCGTGCAGGCAAAGATTGGAGTGACATGGAAGCGTCAGTAATGGATGGACTAGAGTATCTGTCGTTCATCGGGGAATACGATGAGCAACGAGAGACGTGCTTTGAATCCTCGAGATGCACCCACCCAAAGAAATAGAATCTGGCAGAACGCATGAAATATTTCACACACGAACCTCACAGACTGCAATTCAACGAACAAAATACGAGGCTGGTTGTGACACGCATTAAGGACAACACCATGTCCTCTGATTTGGAAGCCCTTTCAAAAATTGACCATTCGACCCAATTAGTGAGCCTTGCCTGGGACTTCTCCCCGTCGTGTGCAAGAGTAGTCAAATTGATGCTGCTCGATCAAGAGACTCGTTGATCATAAATTTTTTTTAGGGCTTCCGTAAAGAACTTTGATCACAGGGTCTGCGATCTTAACGGAGTACATTTGACATGCCTAGGAATCCTGTCACTAAGGGCTGCTGTTCACCGGTTGTTGCTCATGAGCACTAGGTATCCGGCCACTTGATTTTCGACATTTCTCTAATCACAGCAACATCTATAATCGTTAAAGTAGGTCGAAGCCCTCTCCACAAAATTGACCATTCGACCACTAATTAAAGATTTTATACAGGCCATATCTGGACGATCTGATCACCCTAGGTTTCTCTTCACTTAAGAAGGAAAAACCTGAATGTAGGGGAAATTTTGTTACTGTCATTGCCTACGAATTTCCCTACCATTTCGAAGGAATTTAAGAAAACTTTTTTTTCCTATAGTGGGATGAGGACAGTTTGTCATGCAATATGCTGACAGCAATCCTAAGAAAGGTGGGAAATTGACAGTCGAAAAAGACGCTTTTCAGTACTGGCTCGAGCTGGCGCGTCACCACTGATCTGCACATGCTTACAGAAAAATACTTATGTTTGTGTCAACGCTTCCTTCGATAGAGCCGAATGCGTGACGCAACTCCGAAGGAATCTGTCAGCGCCTAACGCTTTGTTCCTCTTATCTTTTATGTTTCTTATCCTGGTGTTTCAATTCTCCTGCTATTTTTTCCGACGCCTTCATGGAAATATTTGAATGCTACCATCAACAGAGGAGAAAATGTCAACAGTGCATGCTAACATTACAATGGGGAAAATGTATTTCAGAAGTTATGTAACAAATCGAAGGACCGGCCATCCATTAACCTCGGCACTGATCAATAATTCACTATTTCTTGATGAGCAGACACGAGGTTGTCATTACAGTATTTACTCACAATAGTTGACTTTCGGCAATTTCACCCCTTTTTGTTCTAGCCTCTAAGAAGGTCTAAGAAGGCGAAACTGTGTCACATCTTATCTGAACCAGTAAATCTCAACGACGCATTAGCTAGCACTATCGCGCACAGGAGGACGAAACCTTCTTGCTTTTGTTGTTTCAATGTCCAAAACACGATTGTTAACGAATCAAACGACAAGCGAAAGAGCCTGGAAAGGTCAAGTTGACAGCAATCTACTTGGCCAGACGCCTCCATAACCAAACAAAGAAACTCTAAACCAAGATTTCAATCACATTGAACACAGCTTTGCACACTCACCGCTTTCTATGAGGTCTCCACTAAGTATATCACGTAGAGACCAACCGCACAGAAATCACATGGAAGTATAATGTACCCCACTCATCAGAATAGCAGTCTTATATACTGCCCTACATCACGCGTGATAATGAGGCATTCTTCCCTGCGGTTCATTTTCGGATTTCTGGAATTAATCCAGAGTGCCTCGAGAGTTTTTCGCGCCTGTGTTCTTGATTCGCGTGCAAGGGTCGTGACACATACTTCAAAGTCCTCCCCGTTATGTCTCTGGGTCCNGAATGCCTCATTATCACGCGTGATGTAGGGCAGTATATAAGACTGCTATTCTGATGAGTGGGGTACATTATACTTCCATGTGATTTCTGTGCGGTTGGTCTCTACGTGATATACTTAGTGGAGACCTCATAGAAAGCGGTGAGTGTGCAAAGCTGTGTTCAATGTGATTGAAATCTTGGTTTAGAGTTTCTTTGTTTGGTTATGGAGGCGTCTGGCCAAGTAGATTGCTGTCAACTTGACCTTTCCAGGCTCTGAGGAAGGCGAAATCCGCCGAAACGTCAGCTCATTTGTGAATAAAGAATAATAACACCTCGCGTTTGCTCAACAAAAATACGAAGAATTACTTGATCAATGCCGAGGTTAATAGAAAGTCGGTCGTGGGAGTTACAAGCGAAAGAGTTTTGAACTCAAAAAACCCGTGAATTCCATTCAGATGATATGAAACAAACTCACATGTAGTTTGAAAGAATCGCGCGTTCTTAGGATTCTTGGCTTAACTTTCATTTGCGGCCTAAACTTATTTCATTACAGACTACCACGTGAACTGGAGCCACAAGGAAACTGGGTCATACCCGGCTCGAAGCCAGCCTGAGCTTCGTAGTTTGCTCATATCTCACCATTATCTCGCACGATTATAGTTTACATCGAACTTCGCTATGAAAAACGAAGAGACAGTAAAAGGTAAAGCTCTCGGCGTTGATCAATACCTGAGGGATGCGCCATGCATTCACCTTCATTAAGCATCGTTTCGAGGTGATGGAATTCACATCTGGCCTTTACAGTGACTCACGGTGGCCTACCGATGTATCGAGCCAGTGCTGCTATTCTCCCGACATGTCTGATACCAATTTGCCGAACTCTGAGGGATCGAACGCTTGGTGAACTATGAGCGCAGGAGTCGATTCCACGCGTGTGTTGCAGTGCGCATCTTAGTACTGTGCCACATGCGCGAATAGATAGTAAATAAATTTAACTGGGTTCAATGCCGATTTGCGGTCTCCAGATCATTCCCGTTCACCGGTGATTACTCATACCACCCCAGGGTAAAAAACTAGCTGAAGGAACAGAAAATCAAAGGCTCGCTTGATACGGTTGATAGCAAGTAAGCAACAGAAAGAGTAGTCGCAGATTTGAAGCAAGCACCGTTTTTAGAGTTTTCCTCGCAACAGTGTTGAAATAACAGCAACACAATGAACAGCTTTCAACTCAAATTATTGTCAAATCCCGAAATTTTGGTTTTCCCTTTCGACAGTGCCTGAATTGTCGTACGATTTCCTGTTATTTCTGAAACACATCGAATAGTTATCATGGATTCATTTGTAAGCCGTCATTCACTTAAACGTGTCCAATCAATAAATCTGCTTAGATTATTGGGTAACTTGATATTTGAAAATTGAACAGGCCGTCCTAGCTGGTTGTGCGGGAATCAGCATACTCTCCAATTTTCGCAGTTTTGCTGGTTTAGCCAGTGAGCTTCGCCGGAATGCTGTGGGCAGTTTGAGCAAAGTGTGGCATAGGTCGTCACCACCACAGGCAGTCGCCACTCTTCCGGATCAGAGGAAGATTTGCCACCATGCGACTAGTTTGGCACCAGGGCGGTGATGGATGCTGGCATTGGCTCACTTTTAGCTGGATCTCCTGACGGAAACGCCGGACTCATTCTTAGCTTGGGAGACTCTATCGTGTTTCCCTCCTCCCGTACATCGCAGCCCGACACTCAGGGACACCTCCTAGCTACTATGAAAAGGCAAGCCGTTGGGAGGTTTTACGTAATTTCTGGGTTAAGTCAAAAATGGGGCAGCAGTTTCGTGTAGCTACGGATATTGAAAGACGAGTTTGAAAGTGCTGAGTATTATCGTTTGCGAAAGTTCCTTTCGACAAAAGAATTTAGTGTATACGTGGAAACAGCTGTAGACCGAAGAAAGCCCAATTATAGCTCTAGCGATGTAAGAAAACCATTTTCTTCAGGGCAAGTTCATCTATTTCATTTGAATCATGGGCGGCTATGAAAGCGCACGTGCTATTTTTCCAAAACGAACTTTTCTGTTTGGACTATGTTAGCTCATAACGCATGCGCTGTCTTTAGAGTAGCTCTCCGAATGGAATACGAGCAATTTCTTGTCCCTATTGACCCTACAGACTTCCCTATGGTTCCATGGATATGAGTGGTATTTCCACTGCAATTTGCTGTGGGTTACTATAGTCTAAAGTCTAAATACCACCTCCCCCGCCCCCTTCCTTACCATTTTTCTCCGCTTTCGATTACCTGTTGAATGAATACGCATAGTACAGATGAAAATGTTCTGAAACGCACTAAACTGTATGAGACCACTACAATGTTCGCGCCGTCCGCTGCAGGTTAGAAAAGGTGCCCGTAGTGGGCATTTACCAGTGTGGTTGTAGCTCACATCGTCGCACCGTCACTCCCACCCCTCTATCGACTATTTTGATCTACTTTCGATCAGTTATTGAATGAATACGCATAGTGCGGATGAAAATGTTCTGAAACGCACTAAACTGAATGAGACCACTACAATGTTCGCGCCGTCCGCTGCAGGTTAGAAAAGGTGCTCGTAGTGGGAATTTACCAGTGTGGTTGTAGCTCACATCGTCGTACCCTCAACCCATCCCAAATAGCATACATTGCGTACACCTTGTTTCATTAATTTTTTCTATGAATTTTGAAACAAATGATCCTGTCGAATTTGGTCGTTTCCAATTATGTTAGTTAATGTGGATGTGACGTTCGTAATCCGAAACATTGTTCGTGGTATTTCTGAATCACTTAGTGAAGCTTGCAACCAGGTGATGAGTTTGCCGCCTCGTCATGAGCATCCGTGCACACGAGATTTCGAGATAATTGAACTAGGTAGGTTCATTTTTAGATATTTGTATGCTGAAGGGTAAGAATAGGTAATTCTTAGCTGTTCTATGAATCTATTATCGAAATCTGTTCGCAGATGATACTTCTGATGATGGCGATTTAGTAAGTAGTGATGGAGAATCTGCAACTCGCCTATTAGCTGATATGCGTGTTGAAACTGCCAATTCTGTCTTACACACCAGTTCGAGCATGCCTGGTCGCGTCGAAGATGACAACGACGAACAGTCGTTTGAGGACGTCTTTGAGGTTGGGCACTTTATGGTTACGAGACATCACGTTGAATTTAAAACATATCCTACATCTGCAAGTAGGCGCGCACAAAATTTGTCTCCAATTTCTTTCAGCTAGTAAAGCTTAAATGAGATTTATACCACAGTGGCAGTGATTCTTGTTATCACGAACATGGTTTTAGTTCGATTCTACTCAGGCCCAACCAAGACTGTCATCCCTCTGAGGTCGGAGAACTGGCACGGGACTTATCTGAGAAAAAGATCACTCTCTACAATCCATTTGGGAGCACTTTAGCCTGGCTGTCCCGGGACCCCAGAAGGAATTGCTCGACCAGCATTCTACCACCACATTCAAGATGAAGTGAAATTCCTCAAGCAGCAAGCCAGGCTACGCGCAATGTTGGAAGATTTTCTTGAACAATGGATGAGAGTAAGCGAATCGAATATGAGAAGTGCTGGGATCTCCACAGTACACTTGAAGATGGATCAAAGAAAATAGAATGAAATTAAAGGAAATATTTAAAGTAGTACTTGATCTAACAGTCTAATTTGTGAATTTCTCATGGATGAGTTTTGAAAATCCTCTTAGTCAATCTACATGAATTTCCCCACTGTTTGAAGGAAGAGGTTTTTCGAATTTAGCCTTGTTTGCTGGACTCTGCTTGTGTTTTTCTCTAATTTTCTTAACTTCCAGGGAACGCTGGGTGTTTCCCCTTCCTCATCCCTTGTTAGGAAAGTAAACGATGATCCTGCTGATGATGAAGTATGTGTGGTCGCAGAAGTGGAGCAGTGAGTTTTTGTCTCGATCATCTTCATATATTCCAATTAAAAGAGGGAAATAAATTTCACACCATATTGTCGAGAACTGGAACGGGCAATGGACGTTTCTATTTTGTCGGGACCGTTTATCGAGCTACTTTCAACGAATGTTGAGAATATTAGGAGTAAGTACTAATGTTACTAGGGCATTGAAGATATTGGCAATGGTGTTGGAAAAAAAATATGTTAAAAGTGTTGGAATGAATAAAATTTTCAGCACAGTTGGCACGTCTTTATCGGATGCGGTGGCCTCATGGGAAAGGAAGTATAGGTGTACAAAATGCAACAATAAATTCTTAACAACAACTGCATGGAGAGTTCACGAGAGTACAGCTCATAAAGAAGATACTCGGGGCATAGGCAAAAATGAGAGAGTGTCCATCCCGACTGAGGTCAGTTCTTGCAAGTTGTACAAAAACCTTCCGGGTACCACTCGAAGGCTTCTTTTTCGCATGCTGTAGTTGTCGTGCCGTGTTTGAGAAAGAACAGTAATTTTAACCGCACCGGTTAAGCAGCTGTCTGGAAAAATAGTCTGTAATGATGTTTACTTGTACGTTCTCGTAACTGGTCTTCTCAAGCTGATTCGAAGTTGGAATAAGTTGTCGTTGTTGTTGGTAGTGATGGTGATAGTGATCGATGGCTGACGATTCGAAATTTAGCTTTTCTCAGAGCCGTGCTGTTACGAGTATATGTCCGACGACCAGCAGCAGCAACAACAATAACAACAAGAATAGCAATAAATATATTTATTGTTGGCCTAGGTCTCGACTTTTTCCTCTTCATCAGAGCCGACGATCC